CAACAATTTTTCCCTCATTAATTTGAGGTAGTTTGTAGTGGGTAAATAAAAAATTGAAAAAATGATTTCAAATTAATATTGCATATTAATCCACTATTAAGTAACTAACAATGTCATAGGATTTCATATATTTAATATATATATATAATTAAGTTAATAAACGACGGATCGTTAACCTTGTAGGTTGGTTGGTCGTGGTTGCTGTTGTCACCTCTCGTAGTTTAGTGATAGAACATTGGTGCGTAATGCCAAAGGTCCCGGGTTCGATTCCCGGCGGGGGTCTGACAACAGCTACAATTTTTCCCTCATTAATTTGAGGTAGTTTGTAGTGGGTAAATAAAAAATCGAAAAAATGACTTCTATTAATAAAGCAAATACTAATTAAAAGACATGCCATTTTATTTTTATTCTATTATTATGTCGGGATGTACTTTATAAGTTACATTATTGCAGCCAACATTGTTCAGCACGTGATGTCAACTTAAAAGGAGACCGCCGAGATGCTTCGTAATAATGAGAGATATCTTCTGACTTTAAATTACCTTATTATTGGCTAGCAGAATTAAGATGGAACTCAATAAGGAAATCCGCCTTGTCTCGTCGAGTACACAGGACTTTAGTAAACACATGCATAGGTGGTAGGTGCTTCACCTAGTGAACAAATATGGTGAATAAATGTTCCCTAACACGGTGATTAGTTCAATAGATCTCGGTTACAATACCGTATGAACTTATTTCCGGGATTTCTAATTGGACTATTAGGTAATCGTGTATCTAGGCTGTAACCAGGATATGGGCGCCAAGTTGTTTTCATGAAGATGACATTCGTTTACAAATTATTAAAATTAAAATAAGATACTGTGCCTACAATGATTCCACATACCTATACAAGACAATCCGCTTATTATTCCATACACGAATTAGACAATAACATAACATTCAACCTGTTAGAATGAGTGGTTAAAACTATCATTATACTTTTGTAATAGATAAATTTAAGACAAAAGTATATGTAAATTAACTGCGAATACCACCACTACTGATTAAATCCACCTTTTTTTGATGGAAATTCCTGTAATGTAAAATTATCGTCTTGATAATTGCTTCACCACATTATAACAGAGTGGAAATCAACAAATAGTTTCAATTTTACATTACATCTTTGATAAAGTGTATAGGTATCATTATAACACATCAAGCGATGCTCATTTGAACACATACCTTATTTAAATATTTTTTTGGACATTCAACTGTTGATGTAACTATTTTAATTTAAAACTTTATCTAACTGATTATGTACTTTATTGATAATAACGACAAAAATAAATTTTAAACCCTTTACCATTACTTATCAACTCTTAAATGATAACAGGAATATTAACAACGGTAATTAGTGAAGGATTTAGATTATGGAAGGCGCCGAAGCTGAATGTGTAAGCATTACAAATAATTGCAATAAAATTAACTAATGATATTTAAAACATTATTTGGGTACTATTACGTATGCATAGAAGTGTAATTTACTGTACATATTTTATTTAAATGTTTTGGAAGTCTTTATGTTGGGTAGTTATGCACAAGGGACAGATTTTAGTAAGACTAATTACTGGAGAAATATTTCTATTGTACTATTCTTGTCAATTCCGTTTTTCATTAATAGAATTTCGAATTCGAAAGGAAATATTTCAAAATTAACATTTCCATAACATAAAGTTCGTTACATATTACGATCTTTTGACGCGGTCCAACCCTAATGAATCTTCTAACACCCGTTCATTTTTGCATCTGTAGTATAGCTTATTAATTCGTTTAAAGAAAAAGTTAATTACACATGGAAGTAAGTATTATCTAACACACGATCAGCGCCTGAAAAGGATTGTTGATTGTATCAACGTATTCTTAAATTAAGTAAGTAGGTATAGAAAGTTTAGTTTGCTAGTTCAACTGTCGATTAAAAGCAAAAGTGAATAGCTTGTAATAAAATTACATGATACGAAACAACGCAATTACTACCTTTGAAGAACATGAATAGATACTAACACATAAACACGTCGTACATCCCTCATAACTAATACGAATGTAAATTACACACATATAACATTCTTAGATATTGCATAAAATTCACGTTTTATCGTATTGAGTTTAGTATATTCTTTTTAAATGTTCAAACTTTTAATCAAATATTTTCTATAAATATGTATCGATGCATTAAACAGTCGGCCTATACGGTAATATTTCATTATTTAGCCAGTACCAAGTCCGCAAACGATCACGGCTAGTAGTGGCCTAACATTTATACATACAGAAGGGTAAATCCCTAATTAATTCTTGATTATTTTGCAATTTTGGGTCCCAAAAGAAACCAATAATTACTACTTTTTATATGTAATAACTGGTCCAAAAATATATAACTTATCAGAATAACCAGATATCTATATCAGACCATAAGGTGACAAACAATATAAAAAATGTTATTAGTATAAAATAAATTGCAAAGAGGTGCATCAATACTATACATGGGATATCGTAAATTTGTTTAGTTTGTATAGCAAATATACGATCTGCTTTTTTATAATTACCAATTTAGTCGGAATAAAATTAAATAAATTGGTTAGTCGTTATCGTTCTATTTATAACAGTGCTGTTTTTTGGATGAATAAATTGTATTGTCATTAATTAAATAATTTAAAACTTGCACAGTAAAAAATGTTTATTTCGTTAAAGGTTATCATGCGGTTTTTTTATCTTCGCTTCATGTCATTAATTTAATAATAACAAAATCGTTCGCGTTTCTCAAGCGCAGTTGCGTAGGGTATTCAAACTATTAAATGGTTCAATGAATTAAGTATTTGCACACAAATTAATCTGGTTTAATCGAAACCGTTATTTGAGAGATTTTTAAGTGTTTTTATTCAATGATTAAATAATGGTTAGTAACTATAGGCACGATGACAGTGAAGGCTTGATGTTTTGAAACGATAATTACCTACTTATTGTGATTGAAAAATCGATGTTTTTTTTTTGGTGTGACCCTGAAACTGAGGCAAAATTGTCAATCTAACTTGGATTAAAGAAAATCAAACTTGTTGCGTAATAAAAAGAAAGAGCTATTTTTCTACGAAAAAGGAAATAATCTAAAAACGGGCATTCAAATATATTACCATAATGTAACCATTTAGTCTTCAAAATACGTCGTTTGTTATAACAGACAATACTTAACTATAAAGTGAAATGTTTTTGAAGAAGAGATTGGTCAAATTTTAGAAAACATTAAGACGGGAACCACAGAATCATTAATACTATCTGGGCAACTTCAAGAAGCTCTGCATGAAAACAAACTATTCCAAATCAAAAGTTTTCTTTTGATTATTTTTTATAGTGGATAATAAAAACAAAATGTGAATTTTCAACGTTTAAGTGTTGTTTTCATTAGACAATTCATTAATTTTTATTTAAGTGTAAAGCCATAAAACCTAATGACCTATGCATATAAAATAATTATTAGCTATGATCTTCAATGTATCAATTCAATCACGTTTATAGTTGAAAAGTGCCCTAAGGAAGTCATGATCTCATCTTAATCAAAGTATGAAATCAAAGAGAGCCTACTCCTTCACAATAAAAAAAGATCGTCATATTTTTTGTACTGTTAAGGAAAACAACTATCACCATGCAATTTTACGTACATTATTATATACATTTATCTACAGCCTATTTTCAGTTGAAAATAACTGTTGATATTTTCCTTTAAGTTTTGCGAAACTATAATTCCAACGGTTAATGCTCTTATTAAGATGTAAAAATGTAGCAAAGCCAAGGCTAAGGCTCATGAGATTCTGGACTACCTCTACAAGCTAAGACTGACCGTAGGTATAGTAATTTTCGTTTCCACTTTTACCTTTGAACAAATATTTAAGAAAATAATAAGAATAATAAGTCTTCTTCCTATAATCTACAAGACGTTCTCTGTAGATACACGTGCTTGTAGTTAGTGAATTGTATTATTGTTGGCAATAAATATGATGTCGGTCAGGGTCGATAGTGTTTCGCTTGACCTTGAAATGGCAGCTTTTTTGTAAGGAATCCAGTTCTGCAGCTTTCAATAAATAACAGATACACGTTTTATAATTTTATTTTCTACATTTCAGTTTCTCTCTCTCGCTTTTCTTAGTTCTCGAATTACTTTATGTGATGATGTGTATTTATGTATGCAAGCATGTAGGTGCACGATAAGATTAATTGCTACATTATTGTAATGTATACCAACATGGATTAATTCAAAACCAGACATTAGCTGCTTGCCTACGCGAATGAATATGTAATGTCTTCATTTATATATGTATTTATGCGCTTACATAACTTTTTACAAGTAAACAAATAGCATACACATTAAGCATTTAATCACGAATAAGCATTTTCATAAAAAAAAAAATCATTTTGTACATATGTGATTAGTTGTTGTACATTTGTGTAACAATATTTAAAGAATTCATGGTATACATAACTAAGGTAGATAGCAAATGATAAGTGTGTTTCTTTACTAAATTGTTGCAAAATTANAGGACCACTCTTTATAACGCCGAAAAATGTTCAGTCGCTTAAGTGTCGTTATATAGAGTTTACACTGTATTACTTTTGCAAGTACAACAGTACATACGTATTAAACCTTTAAAAACTATTGCAACTGATGTTGCAAATATTAATGTGCAAACATTATAATTAGTTTACCAAGTAAATGTAAAATTTTTTGGATTAAGTTTACGGGGGCTACAGGGGGCGCCATGTTGTGCATTTAATAAAAACACTTACTGTTGCTCCAATACTTTGCCATAATTTTATATTTTCGGCATCTTCGTTAGGAGCGAAAAACACAATAGGTGGTTCTCTGAAGTCCAAAATTTGTATAAGTTTGTTAATGGCACCTTTGGCACCGTCGCTCACAAACAGAACGGTGTCTTCATCGCAAGCATTTACGGCATTCCGTATTATGTCTCGCGTCTCTTGTCTGAAACAACGGGAAAGAATAGGGTAAGACGCCACAAGAAATTGTGACTGGGTGAACGTTCAAATTAAGCTTAATCGATGAACTAATTGTGATACTAGGTGTTGGTACGCAAGATTTTTTACCCAAAGATGACCTTATATTAATACAAACCTACCATAAAAATTTTATTAAACAAATATTGGTGGAACCCTAACCTTAGTCATTCAGATGTCCAAAAGTCACACATCCATGAAACAAATAATAACAAATTGTATATCACACTAAGACGATTGAGCTTCCATGGAACCTTGGCCCAATCATAATTGCTTATGGCACCTTACTCTTTTTAAATTTTTCACTCATTGGTCATCCATTTAAATGCAGTGCGAAATGTTTTGTAACCATTAATAAGTTACACAATATTGCCCCTAGTATACATTTTTACTCATTTTATTTTCAATTTATCATGAAATTCGAAAACATTTCAACAAAAAAACAGTGTTTTCTTCTGATAAGCAATATAAACATGCGGCGGTAGAAAATATTTGTAAACAAATCCATAAACTTTGGTGATTATTTCTACCGAACATTGCACATATATATGCATTTTACAACTACATAAATAAATTCAGTTTATAGTGAATTTGCTTTGCAACTTTGTTTATAATAAACGATAAGTTGCATGAATCTCAAAATCAGACTTTTTTAAATTAGTAGAAAATTACAGAAAAACAATATTATATTACGCATGAGAATTTTTTTATTTTAACGTTCAAATAGATACATTACGTTACATTATTTGAAGTACGATTTAGAGGAAGTACTATTTTTTGTTGTACACAACAATTATTTCCAACTTTGTAATTAAATTGTGTGCCCATGCACCAAACGCAAACATAGTAATGAACAATTACTTTGGCCATTAACGAAGATCAATACTGGCGTGTCTCACAAACAAAGTAATTCACTAAAAACTGCCTCTTGCTATAATAAAGGTAAGTACACATTGATATTTTTCCGTCAATTTCGTTAAAAGCTTGAGTTATTTTAAGCGGAAAAAAAATAGCATAATACACAGCACAACCTTTGTAAGATAAAAGCATATTTTTGAATTTTATAAAAACAAAGCCACATATTATAACTGCATACATAAGTTGCTGGTGTAAAAATTTCAATGTGATGGATAACAAAGAATAAAAATCATTGGCCTAAGACAACCTCTTGTGAAATTATGCACTAAAAATGCAAATTATGTAGAAATTACGTACGCACTTAATTGGTTATTTCTGTATAGTAAGCAAAATTATACCCTGACTCACAATTTTATCGAAAGTGCAACTTGACATTAAGAATAACAATTGCTCTATCGCATTTGTAAATTTAACAAAACAAAAACATTTATAATTGTTTCATTATTACACCAAAAAATAAATTAAATAACTATACTGATCAATTGCGATTTTTTAGAAATAAAAGTGCTAAAATGAAGTAACAAAAAATAGAACAAAACCGAAAGCATCACAAGTGTTACAATCTGGTACAGGGATCTAAACGCATTTTAGTGAACTTCTAAATGACCGAAACTTTGTAGACTTTTTTAGTAAAACTTTTAGTTTGTTTTTGCTAGAATATTATTTCAATTAATTGAACCACAAAATCGTATAACTGAAGTACATGCATACCAAAACGAAATGGATCGAATGACACTAATTCATAAAAAAAAGCAATTTTATAATATTCAAGGATAAAATAGAATGGTACCTTACCTAAAAAGACTGGTTTGCAATGATGTAATACTGACAGTTGAATGAGTGCTACCAAAACATGGTAGTACCTCCCGAACGATGTATTCTTCGATGAATTGAAGTGATCTTCCAGATGCTGCGTAATCGCAAAAAACAACTGTAACAAACATAAAAACAGTATTAGTTTACAAAACAAATACATATCTGTTGTAAAATTATTGAGATTGCGTTTGTGCTATTGACATACTCTCTACTAAAAAAAATCCATAAAGTAATGGCTGAAGTTACTAAGGGTTCCGTTTTTCCATTGTAGTTGATAAGAAAACATTCTCCCCTACATTCAAACGTAACAAGCAAATGTAAATTTATACGCATAGGTAGTTTAGTCTCCTTGTGTGTCCTGATGTTGAGGTGGTTAAATAATAGAACGCAGAATACGATAACAACTTTAATAAACAAGAACAAAAAAATGAAGACTAGAATTAAGAATGTAGAATGGTGAAGTTGAAATTAGGAAGGATAAGTCAGAACTGATTTTAGTTTTTGAAAAAGAGATCGTAAGAAGGGTGATAAGGAGGAGTTAGAAATAAGTTAATTAAAGTAGGGAACCAATAAGATGGTAGTAAAACCTGGAAATTTAGTTTAGAAGAAATACCTAGAAATTAAGTTTGACCCCAAATCACCGAAGAAACTGACCATAAAACTGCAATTAGGAAAAGTAAGAATTATAGACGTCATGCAGTTAGTATACAGAGTTGAATTGTTAAAAGGGATGATAGCAAAGTACGTAGGCAATTAAATAGTCGTTTAGCTGAAGAATAGGTATAGAGTAGGTATAGAATAGAGTAAGTATAAAAATAGAATTATAAGAAAAGAATATTTACACAATAATAATACAATAATACAGAAATTCCAAACACACAAATACATGCATCACAGACATACCAAAAAATATATACAACCACACACTCAATACCTTACTCTAAAAAATTAATTACTTTCTTAAAAACTATCAAATCGCCACAACAC